GGGAAAGAGATCCAAGAGTGAAAGGCCTATTTTATCCTTCATGGGCTGGGAAGAGTAAGATTTTCCCAAGCACCCAAGAGTGTTTAGCTCGTTTTGATGCTTTTGTTAATTCCATTAATAGACTACCTGACTACTAAGATTTCACAAAGGATGCATAAGAATGGCTTGTTTTTCTAGTTCATTATGCTACAGAATGGGAGATAACATTTTTTTCATTAACAGGTACAAGCAGAACCCCTGTATTGTCTCCTTTTTATGACATTTACTGAAGTCATCACTATTAAGTATGTCCCTGTTTTTCAAAGTTTGCAGCTGACTTAGAGTTCATTTGCACTTTTTTTTTTTTAGTTGGATACACAATGAATGATCTCATTTTTGAATGGCAAGAGAAGGGAGCAGTTCAAGTAGCAGAAGGTCTCACTCTACCGCAGTTTCTGTTGAAAGAAGAAAAGGATTTATGTTACTGCACCAAGCATTACAATACAGGTAGGAAAGCACAAATACTAATATATGGCTAATCCTTTAAAACCTTCCAGAATTTGAGATACTAAACTTATAGCAGGGTAATTTTTTCACTCAAACATCCTTTTGTTAATGATAATAATGAATTTATTATTATCCCTTTTTTCTTTTTACCATAATCCATTTGAAAAACAAGAAAATTTTATTTTCATTATTTTTCTCTGTCTCCTTTGAGATATATAGGCAATCTGTTCTTCCTTTTTAGGATTCTTCTGCTTTTGTGCCATTTTAAAATGTGCCTGTAACCATACTTCTATCGCCTGCATAGTGCTATTAACAACTGAGAATCTGTGGTTGAAAGTATTCTCATATTTCTAAAGTTCATTTAGGCAATATGATGCATCAAAATTCTCTAACTGAGGAATTAAAACATTACTGTTGTATTTAATCTGATATTGAATGGAAGCCTGTTTTAAAATGTCAGAATTACTGGTAAGATTCAAATATCCCTCCAAACATCTCATCCAAAGCTGAATTGTTCTCCTACTTATTTGCCTGATAACTTTCATTACAATCATTATAGTTTAAAGCTTTTGATTTTGACTGAAACTTCATTTTTTTCAATATTTTTTACCCTCTACCTTGTTCTTCATAACCTATCTATCAATCCTACTTAAGTTGGTATTAATTTTCTTCTAAGCAGAAATAGGAAAACAAGCTAGGCATAGGGAAAACACGCTGGGATCACCTTACATTTGCAGTCTTTTTCACTCTGGCCTTAAACTGAGCTGAGAAGTGGGAGGAACAGATATTAACTGCATGTTAGATATAATAACTGTCAAAATGTGCCTGCAAGACAACTGCAGTTACCCTTGTGAACTGCTGTCACATGTAGGTGGGAGAGAGGGTTTACCGTCATAACTCTAGAGGGCCATGTGCCCAATCATCAGTGTGATATTTCTGTATTGCTTTGGACAAACTGCATTTCTGTGGCCAGATAGGTGCTCTAAAATGTGAGTGCAGCCCACAGCCCTGAAAAGATGGCTGGAATTCATGCCTCTGCTTAAAAAATAAAATCGGGCTGTTTCATTTGTCCACAAAAAATCAAGCCATTTACTAATACAGAAAACTTGAAAGCCTGGATACAGGCTCCCACAGTACACTTCAGAATAGAGACTTTAAAAGAGCTTTAGCAAACGAAAAGACAATTGCACAGCTGTAGGACCTGCCTGTGATGGATGGGGGGAAAAAAGCAATGCTGAGTGGCACCAGATGCAGCCAGAAGGGTGTGTCTTCACCAGAGGAAGCAGCAGATTTACAGCACCAAAATCACAGGTTCAAATCTAGAAGAACTTTGGCAGGGCAAACCAGAAAGAAAAGATAGTCTTACTCATGAAGGATTATAATTATTGTGAAATCTTGCTCTTCAAGTTAATAGTATTTTCTCCAGAGTATTTCTTTTTTTATTCAAATCTTCAGCATGAAGTTAATTTAATCAAATTAGAGGGGTTTGGTTTGGTTTCTAGGAGGTTGGGAGTGCCTTTAATTTCATTGTTACAACCAGCATTATTAACTACCATATGTAGGCTAAAAAAGCCTAAACATTGTATTAAAAAACAACAACTAAGAGTTTCTTTTCTTCCATTATGTCACTTGCATATGTGACCAGTAATACTCTTTCTTAGGGCTCCTGCAATGACATACTGTAGACCATACCCCTTTAAGATACTTCACAAGAAACAAACTTCTCTTTTTTTTCCAATAGAAATAAAGCCTATTTCTCTGAGCTACAACAGATTAGGTAAAATGAATTCTTAATAGAATGCTAAACAGCTGCAGCTGGTATGCAGTAAGTCACCAAATAAGAATTTTCAATTTAAATTTAGTTATGACATAGGATGGAAAAGTCACAGAATCACAGAATCACAGAACGTTAGGGATTGGAAGGGACCTCAAAAGATCATCTAGTCCAATCCCCCTGCCGGAGCAGGAACACCTAGATGAGGTTGCACAGGAAGGCGTCCAGGCGGGTTTTGAATGTCTCTAGAGAAGGAGACTCCACAATCTCTCTGGGCAGCCTGTTCCAGTGCTCTGTCACCCTCACTGAGAAGAAGTTTCTTCTCAAATTTAAGTGGAACCTCCTGTGTTCCAGCCTGTGCCCATTACCCCTTGTCCTATCATTGTTTGTCACCGAGAAGAGCCTGGCTCCATCCTCGTGACACTCACCCTTTAAATATTTATAAACATGAATGAGGTCTCCCCTCAGTCTCCTCTTCTGCAAACTAAAGAGACCCAGCTCCCTCAGGCGCTCCTCATAAGGGAGATGCTCCACTCCCTTAATCATCTTTGTAGCCCTGCGCTGGACTCTCTCCAGCAGTTCCCTGTCCTTCTTGAACTGAGGGGCCCAGAACTGGACACAATATTCCAGATGCGGTCTCACCAGGGCAGAGTAGAGGGGGAGGAGAACCTCCTGAGTTCTTCTGAGACATCCCATAAAACAGAAAAACAGCCCTAAAATTCTCCCTGTGAAACAACTTAACATGAAAAGTCAGAACAGTATGTGAAACTGATCAGTAGATGTCTCACCAATGCCCAATTGAAAAGGGATCACTGTAACCACAGCTTGAAAAATAAACTGCTTCTAAATACAAGGGCATAACATTTTCAGCAACAGTACAGCACAATGGCTTATCAAATCTTGTGTTCTGAAGTGACGCAACAACATTTCTGATCATTTTCATGTTTTTGCATCCACTGACACAACCGCAGTGACAAATTTGGGAAGTGAAGTAGAATTATAACAACCAGAAAAATCACATGTGAGCCATTCACATTACAAGGATGGTTTTGCTTTACCATGTCCTCATCTGCTTCCTATGTGACATGTATTGCTTCCCTGGGCTTTTATGCAATACGCAATTTTAATTTCAATCACAGATAACTGCAAAAAGCCCAATAGACGACAGCATGAATTTATACATAATAGCATTGGCTAGCAGGCACAAACAGAAACATTCTAAATCTTGACTTTATTCCTGCACCATGGATAATGCACTAGACCTACACTTGAATGACGTCTTATGTCTATTGATGGGTTTTGGCTCAAAGTATTGGATGGAGTGGTCCTGGAAGCAGTGGAGCTATGGTTGCTACACTCACTACCAGAACTGTATGTGACCACTTCTGATAACTCTATATCCTAAAATTTTCAATCTCAATGAATGGCCCTCTTCCTTAACTCTGAGTTCCCCATTCGACCTCCTAACACATACATCCAAACACAATCTTTTCTCTTGATTCCTTCGGTTCGCCCTTAAGGTCAAACAAGTTGCTCAACAACCTGTAGATTGTGCCCCTTCTAGACTTTCCCTTCAACTGAGTTAATGCCTTATGCTAGGCCATTTTGCTGCCAGCATGATAGCGATTAAAGAAGACACAGCTTTGATGCCTTAGTCCACTAATACAAACCATTTTTTAAGCCTTGATTTTTAAACCATGGTTTTTTAACCTCTTAGGTTTTTTTCATGAATCACTTCTCAGAAAAGGAATTTTGTATTTTTTACCCAGGATATATTCTATGGGTGTGAAATCACTACAGCTGGTCATTCTTTCACTGAAAAAGGAGAAATTATAAACACTTCAAAAAACAGAGTCTATGACAAGCTGAGGACATCCCTAGGCACAGAAAACAGCACTGCTTGACTCCAGCAGGGCATTTTCCTCTGTGGAAGAGACCTCAGTTGTCACCCCTACACTGATCAAAATTTAACCATTCTATCTTAAAGATACATGGAATAAAAATTAATCAGCTGTCCTGGAAATAGAGACATTACATCTAGATGTCCTTACTATTTATGCTGCTATCATATTCTCCATCGTTTCTACTTCTCCCCTCTCTGTCCCTGCTAACACAGTGCAGCATGTGGCTTTCACAACACAAGGCTTCTGTTCAACTCAGTATCTGTTCTGGTGACTTCTGTTCAACTCGACATCTGCCAGACTCCCAGGCATTTCTTGTAGAACAGCTTCAGTCCAGTCCCAGCCTGTACAAGTGCATGGAGTGACCCCATCCTCATTGCAGAATTGTGCAGTTGTCTTTGTTGACTGTCAAGATGTTGTAGGGGGTCCTCCAGCCTATGGAGGTCCCTCTGAATGGCAGCTTGGTCCTCCATTCTGAGAGATTTGAGAATTACAAGTGCAGATTCCTCAAGCTGAAAAAGAACTAGTTGCTCTTTTCCACATTTTCAACTTTCTTTTACTGCAGTCGTTACCAGTCTTAGACCAATGTTAAGTTTACCACTTGCTCAAGTATTAGTTTCCAAGCAAGCTATGTAAAGTCACTTCCTTCCTGACCAAGAACTTATGTAGTCAATGGCAGGTGGCAGCACCATCACTGATATTCCTCACGTGTATGATATCTACAGACTGTGACTTGAAAGAAAAACTGAATGGTAGTACATTCCAAAAGTTTTGTAAATCTGGGCTTTAGATACAAAGACACCAGCAATATATATGAGAACTTGTCTAGTTCTACATGCCAGACACTCAAAACTCATCACTTTTAGTCAGGATACATGATCATAGACACAGCCTGAATGTTTTATGATGAGGAAAAGGCATTACACTGTCCCCTTCTTAGAGAGGTATGAAAATAATTTCAGCTATCTTTCCTTATATGTTATCAATTTTATAGACAGTCTCTTGAAATACTCAGGTTTGCACACACATAAATTATGGAGTGCCTTGTTTATTTAAGACATTTTATCATGGGAAGGCAAAAGGACAGAAAGTATTTAGCTATGTTTCAGTAATAAGTAAAGCAGAATGCCTCTCAGATGATGGGGTAATATTCTGACAGGAATAAAAAGGAAATCTTTTTACTGAACAAGGTAAACTCAGCTAGATTGCTTGCCTAGTGATTCTGATAATGACTCAAACAGGAGAGAAAGTAACAGGAGCAGTACTGCTTCATAGAAAAGTCAGTTTATATATTTCATTCTCTTTCTTCATGTTCTCTGTAAAAA